AGGGCTGCCCATATCCCACTGCAGTGCGCTAGCCTGCCCAGGAGAGGCTTCCAGTCCCCCCAGCAGCCCCGAGCCTGTGTTCCAGGGGTGCGAGGTGCCAGGTGCCATCTCCTTAGGCTTCCTTCGGTCTCCCTGAGAGCCGATGGCCTGGGGCAGTTCTCCGAGCTTGTCACCACTTGTCTGTGTTCTTTGGAAAAATGCTTGTTCAGCGCCTTTGCCCAGTGTTCCTAATTAGGTGTCTTATTATGCGCCATGGTGGGGTTCACATTGACCACCTCCCACATGCACAGAATACTGTTCGCTCCACTCATTCTCCAGGGCTTCCTCTTCCCTCCCTCCCCTGCCCCCTGATCCCCTTCCTCCACTCTTGTCTTCCTTCTATTGTTTTTAAAAATTGGCATTTTATGGATGTACACAGAGGTGGAATTCACCGTGATGTATTTATGTGTGTACATAGTGTGGTTTGCCCATCCGATTCCATGGCTCCTCCCTTTTCCCGTCCCTCCTCCCTCCACCTCAGTCTCCTTCCTCTGCTCACTGATCTCCCTTCGAGTCTCCTAGAATCGTGGCATTTCCTCCCCTACCCCAACTTTCCCCCCTTACTTTGCTCTAGCTTCTGCATGTGAGAGAAAACATTCTGACCCTCGACTCTCTCTGAGTCTGGCTTATTTCACTTGGTATGATGGTCTCCATTTCCATCCATTTACCAGCAAATGCCATAATTTTATTCTTTATGACAGTAAAAGTTTATTAGGTATAAATATCATATTTCTTTAACCCAATCTCGTAGCAGCACAGTTCACCAATAGCTAAGTCATGGAACCAGCCCAGGTGCCCAGTTTTTAACAGGGTTATTTCAACAGAGTGACTTTTTACAAGGGTTCACTGGTTGTGATGTGGGAGGGGACTGGAGAAGGGCAGGCTGGGAGCCTGCACTGTGGTAGCTGAGGGTGGGGGGGCAGGAGCTGGCAGTGGGAAGGTTGGGTAGAGAAGCCTGTGCTGGTGAAGGAAACAGGAGGAGTGCAGGAGGTGCCCGTGCCCATGCCTTTGGTGGTGCCACAGCGATGTCAGAAGGTTCATGTTGAAGGGTGGCTGCAGCATTGGGTGATTGAAAAGTCAAAGGGTGTTTCTTAACTGAGTTGCTAAGTGGGAGGAGTGCAGGAGGTGAAAAGGAGGTACAGTCCCCCCTCCAAGGCTTAGCTAGTGTGAGGGGATGCAGGTGGGTGGGAGAGGGGGTCCGGGAGCCTCTGCTGGGAGCCTCTGCTGGGAGCAGCCTGGTTTGGCCTTGCTGGGAGGGGTTGCTTCTGACCCTGCCCACAGCCCCAGTGTCCGGGAGGGGAGGGGAGGGAAGGGGAGGAGGAGGCTGGATTGGCAGTAGAAGAAAGAGGGGATAATTGGCTGGCAGGCATCCAGCAGGGTGGGTGGGACCTCATAACAACAATAATAACAATAATTTGTCTGGGGCTTAATAGCCCTGCCAGATCCACGTGCTAATTGGACTGCTGGAGGGCCCAACTGGGGTGGGCGCAGGAGATGCCCTCCCCTCCTTCCTCTGGAGGTGGAGGTCAGAGCAGGGTGAGCACCTGCACGGAGAGGGCCCTGGGTGGAGTGGCAGGACAGGCAGGGATGGCCGGGGTAGGCTGATTCAGGCTGCTGCTGCCTTGCTTCGGGGTTCCTTGAGTTGCCTGCAGTGCTCTTCTTTTCTAGTGTGTGGTGCTGGGGATCAGACCAGGGCCTCATGCCTGGGGTTTTCTTGAGAGCAGGTGAGGGACCTTCTCCAGGGAGTTGCCCTGGGCCCTGAAAGTGGAGTCAGGAGCTGCCCGAGGTCCCCAGCTCCTCATCTTTGACCCTGCAGATGAAGCCCCACTCCCCAGAGCCTAGGGGTGGGCCCCAGAGCCCAGAGGTTTAGGGAGGAGGGCCAGCACCCAGGTGAGGGTGTGAGGGAAGGTGAATGGAGAGGAGGACTGCGTGGCATTTCAGCTACCCTTCTTAGGCTTTTTGCCAGCCTTGCTGATTGATTCTTACACAGTGGTACCAGTCATCTGCTGTTCCTTGTCCCCATCCTACGGAGGATGCTGTTGAGGCCTGAAGAAGCAGAACCTTGCTCAAGGTCAAAGAGCACTGCTGCAGAGGGACTAGAGAGGGTGTCTGCACTCAGCTTGTTTATGCACATCTGCCCCCCAGGGATGCTGTCCTGCCCCAGACCGCAGCCGCTCCCAGCAGCCACCGACTGGGAGAAGTCAGGGGCAAGCAGCACCTAAGCCTTGGTAAAAAGCCCCGCTCCTGCCGCTGACCGCCAGATGCCTGTGCTCCAGCTCAGTGCCCATGCTCTCCTTCTGCCACGCCCGCTGCAGGGCTCCGGTGCACAGTGGCGATTCGGGCTGTGCAGAGTAGCCGGAGGAAGGCCTCCCTCCTGCCCAGGCTGCTCTGGGTCTGCCGGGTTATTATGTGGTATGTCACCTGTGAGCCCGCCCACCAGCCCTCATTTATGAACCTTGGATCCACAGACAAAATCCTCAGGAACTTTGGGTCAGCAGCCACACAACACTGAGGTCAAGCTGGGGCCTCCCTCCTGCCTGCCCTGTTCCTGTCTCCTCCCTCTTCCCGTCCTCAGGCTCCCCTGGGTTCCTCTTTGCTGGGCCTTGAGAGCTTCCCTCCGGTCCTGTAGCCCCATCGTTCACATCAGGAGTCAGTGAACTTCTGTAACGGGCCACTTCTCAAGTATTTTAGGGTTTGTGGACCAGGAGGCAAGTTGCCTCTGTCATTCTTAAAATGTGACAATGACCATTGGCAGGTGGGAGGAGTTTGTTGACCTCAGACTCCTGCAGAGAGCTTAGGGTCAACCCCTCCACCTCTCAGAGGCCAGGCCAGCTCTCTTCCTGGCCCTGATGCCTGTGGCCTCACTGCCCTGGGCTGCCCCTCCCTGCAGAAGCTGGGCCTGAGACTGGGGCCAGGGAGGGCTCTGAGCTGGGAAGTCCCTGTGCCTCTTGAGCTTAGGCTTTCGTTTCAGGGAAACATTATCGCACTTGGCAGAGGAGGCTCAAACAGCAGAGGCCATGAGGCTTGGCCCTCCCCTGGCCCTGGCGGCCCCTGGCAGCAGCCTCCCGTCTCTCCCGCTCTCTTCCCATGCTTTTTAAAACAACGTTTGTGGTGTTGTAGTCAGTGGGCGGGACGCTGTTCTAGAGTTCACTTTTGCTAGAGGTACGTGCGCACCGAGACGCTCTTCTGCAGTGTACAGTTGGTGGTGTCTCGTTCACGGAGTGCTTAGGCAGCGCCACTGTCTAGTTCCAGAGTGTCTCCTCACCTTCCAGGAGCCCCCACCACTCGGCATTCTCTCCTGTTCTTGCCTTGACCTCCAGCAGCCACTGTGTCTTTCCTGGCGCAGACAGCCTGCAGAGGGAGTCCCTGCCATGTGTGCCTTGTGCCTTGTGCCCTTGCCTTGCGTTTGGATTGGTCCAACTTTTTGCCCATTGGGAACAACTTGCCATGAACACCACCTGTGGCACTTGTGGCCGACACGAGTGTTTTCTTCTGTTGGGTATGGGCCCAGCAGTGGACTTGAGGGTCTGTAGTCAGTGCCTTTGTCACTGGAAGAGTTGCCAGGCTGTTTCCCAAAGCTGGGCACTACTCTTTGTCCCTTGCAGTGTGCCAGGCTCTGCCTGATATTTAAAGAAAAATTTTGGTATTGGGGATTGTTCCAGTGGTACTCTAGCTCTGAGCTACATCCTCAGTCCTCTTTTTTAAAATTTTATTTTGGGACAGGGTCTTGCTAAGTTGCTGAGCCTGTCCTGAACTTGTGATCCTCTGCCTCAGCTTCCCGAGTCGCTGAGGTTACAGGTCTGGTCACTGTGCCTGGCTCCTGTGGTATTTGGAGGTTGATGATGTATTGTGTAGGCTGCAGTTTTGTGTCTTTTTGGGGGAGGGGCAGGTACCAGGGGTTGAACTCAGGGACACTTGACCACTAAACCACATCCCCACCCTCTTTTATATTTTATTTAGATACAGGGTCTCACAGAGTTGCTTAGTGCCTCACCCGTTGCTGAGGCTGGCTTTGAATTCGCAATCCTCCTGTCTCAGCCTCCCAGGTGCTGGGATTACAGGCGTGCACCACCACACCGGCCAGTTTTGTGTGTTTGCAGGGGAAGCAGAACTTCCTCTCGCAGGGCCTCTGGGCCTGAGAGAGGCTGACATGAGACAGATGACCAGGAGAAAAGCATGTGCCTTAACCTTGCCTGTGTGCTGGAGGCCTCCTGGGACAGTGAGGCCCAAGGCTGGGGGCCGCCGGGAGGGTGGCCGTGTGGCTGGGGCCGAGGGGAATCCGAGCTTCAGCAGGGCTTGTTTGTGCAGAAGGCCGTGGCCTTGGCTCCCACCTTGCGATAAGTCGTTCTGCTGCCCGGCACAAGGAGCAGAGCACATCGCATGTGGGAGTTTCTCCCCTGCTTTCAGGCAGAAAGGGAGTCGCCGCTGCCTCTGTGGTTGAGGTCAGCCCTGGCTGGGCGTATCCCGGGCACTTCTGCTGCCCCCCACTCTGCCCTTGTGCCCACCACTTGCCCATTTGATACAGTTCTCACAGCTGTCAAAAAAATAAGTCTTTAGTCTTTTTCTCTTATTAAGAAGTAATTATGGGCTGGGGATGTGGCTCAAGCAGTAGCGCGCTCGTCTGGCATGGATCGACCCGGGTTCGATCCTCAGCACCACATACAAAAACAAAAGATGTTGTGTCTGCCGAAAACTAAAAAAAAAAAAAAAAAAAGAAGAAGAAGAAGTAATTATATTTTACTATTAAATCAGAAAAACAGTCAGAAGGAAGTTAGAATCAATCCTCATGTGATGAGCAGGTGGTCCCTGATGGTGGCACCCTGCTATCATTGGGGCCAGCCCACCCTCTGTGGAGCAGGCCAGTATGATCGCTGACACTTTCTTCCATTGTTGGGCATGTGTGACCTTGCTGGTTTTCTGGTGCTAAACTCTGCCACGATCTTTTTTTCCCTCATAAAAAGCATCTGCTGAGGTTTTGGTTTTCCCTTCTGAGTGGCTTCTGGAGAGGTGATCACCTGGTCAGGGGCCTGCGTGCTATGCAAGATGCCGGACTGTTGGTGTCTGTCCCCAGTGTGTTCCTGCTGCGAGTTCTGCCTGAGCCAGGTGGGGAGGTCCTGCACGTGGGGTGGGCAGGCTCTGTCTCAGCAGGGTGCTCCCTCAAGTCTTGGTCCACACTCCCAAGAGCGCCCCCATGCCTGGTGCTGCAGGGGTGCAGGGTCAGTGCTGCCAGTGGGCAGGGGCGTGCAGTCTGACCAGCAAGAGGCGAGGGAGCTAGGGCCTTCCAAAGGAGGGCCGGCAGTGTGAGGCTCTCTGGAGACRGTGTCTCGGAACTCGTTGAGGGATTTGGGCTGGCTGGGCTGATGGGAGATGGCTGTGCCGCTGAGGCTGCTCCCTGCCTGCCTGCAAGACCCGTGCATGGCTCTTGTCTTGAGGGTCTGGAGTTGTGACAGCTTTGCCTCCTGCAGGTGCTGGGGACTTGAGAGCCAGTCAGCAGTGCCTGTACAGGAGGCAGGAGTTCTTTATGTTTGCAATTCCCTCTTACTGCTCTGTTTTGGCTGTAGAAGCTGGCAGCACTGTGTCAGTTCCCCTCCCCAAATTCTACTGGAACTTCCTTGTTTGTGAAGTCCTAGCATCTGGAAGCTGCCTGCTGGCTCTGCCATTCCTTGATGCCATGTGGTCACTGGAGATCCCTCCACACCTGGATGCCAGATACCCTCGAGGTCCAGTTACTCTCTTCCAGTGCGCTGGTCAGGAACCTGCCCACTGTGTCTGGCTTGAGTACTTCGTGTGGTTGGGATATAGGAAGGCCTTAGGGCAGGCAAGTGCACTTGCTGCTGTCCAGTCCTCCTGTGCTGGTAGGTGACCTGTCGCAGGCACAAGGACCTCTGTGGCTCAGGAGTCCCTCCATGGCAAGAGTGCTGTATGCATCATCCTGTTTGCACCTTAGGTCCTTCATCTTGCCTATGAGGAAAGTGAGGCACAGAGGCAGCACTGTACGCTGTGTCCCAGCCGTAGGTGGCGCTGGGCAGGAGGCTGGTGTGGCTGTGGCCTGAGTGGCTGCCCCAGGCCTTCTCTCCACTCCCTGTGAGAGGCGAGTCGGGGGCGTTGTCTGCTGGGCTGTTGGTGCAGTGCCTGACCCCAGGGCCCTCAGTTCCATCTGGTGCCCTGTAAACTGTGTCCTTCTGTCTCATCCACTTCCTACAGGGACGTCGACATGGAGCTTCGGGAAGAGGCCTGGTCTCCGGGGCCGCTGGATTCTGAGGACCAGCAGATGGCCAGTCACGAGAACCCAGGTGAGGTGGCCCTGTAGGTTCCACTAAGCCAGCTCCGCTGCCCTCCCGCCAGCCAGCGGGGGACACTCTTCCCCCTGCTATGACTCTGGCACGCCTGGTTTCCCGCCCCTTCCTCTCCTCCCCAGGACTCTGCATCCTAGCTTGGAGGGGCTCCTGTTGGTGTTTCCAGTTGTCCTTGCAGTGGAACCGTCCTGAGGCCTTGGGGACCACCTCTGTCTGATTTCTTCTCCGGTGCCTCCAGCTTGGGGCAGCACCCTGTCCCTTGCTGAGGGTACCCCTGCTCTTCCCCTGGCCTCAGGTTCCCGGTGGCCCTTGTTCCCTGGCAGGCTGCTCCTCAGACCAGGGGTGGCCAACCCAAGTGCAGTGCCTGGAAGGCAGCAGTGACCGGCCTGGAGGGTGGGTGCCTGTGTTTCAGGGGACTTGATGGGTGTCACCGTGAAATCTTTGTGTGTTGGCAATATATTTTGTTTAATAAAGTATTTGGGTGAATAAAACGCATCTGTAGGCTGCACAGTCCAGGGTATGTTTGAGACGCAGTCCACTACACACTCACTCCCTCTGTTGCCATGACTACAGCCCAGGGATGAGAAGGCCCTGGGAAGAGGCGCAGTGGCAACAGGCGGCCTCGCCCCAGGTTTGGCGTCCTCTGTGCCCGGGCAGCACTGCTCACATAGCCTGAGGCTCAGCTGGCTCAGTTGGGGCCTGCGTCTGCACCCAGGACGTGGCCCTGTGCCTGCTTACATGGGGCTGGAGGGAGAGTGGGGCACAAATCCTGACGTCTGGAAGCACTCACTGCTGCTTCCTCRTGTTTCTCCTGCCCTCTGTCCTGCCACTGGCCACCCAGCGCAGTGACCTGCTGCTGGCACTGTGGCCAGGCCTGTGTTGGAGCGTGCGCTCCTGAGGGAGGGTGCTGAACTGCCTGGTGCCTGCCTCTCCACTGGAGCCCAGCGAGGGGGGACACGGAGGAGAGCCGAGGGGGCCGTCTTTGGGCTCATCGGTTTGCCAGGGTTTCGGTGCAACTGGAGGCTTTATCATCGTGTTCTGTCTTCGAATGTTTCTGAGAAGTGTGCTCAGGTCCTCCAAGCCAGTCCTTCACTGAGAACGGCACTTCGTTCACCTGTCCCCACTAGTTCTCTTGAGGTGGGTCGTCTCCTGGAGCCCCCACAGAGCCCAGTGAGGTTGGGCTTCCTGCTGATCAGTCCCATCCTTTGTGTCCGCGCAGGTGAGGCAACAGAAACCGTGACAGGGTGTGGAGGTGAGCCCCGTCTGCCTCTTGGGCACCTAGTCTCCTGATGGCTTGGTCCCGACTTGGGGTTCTCAGTATGCAGTGAGCAGTGGTGGGTGGGGAGAGCCCCCGAGCCCTTCAGGGCCTTAGCTACAGGGCATGAAAGGAGAAGCAGCCCACATGACTTCCTGAGGAGACATGCTGATTCTGAGGGAGCCTTCTCAGCTGCTGTGCGGCCCTGGACAATCCTCAGGCTCCCAGGCAGGAACTTAGCAGTGGGATAGTCAAGCCCAGCACACTGCCGACGCGAGGCCCAAGCCCCTGTGGACTGCAGCGAGGGTGCTGGGAAGATGGAGGCGGGGCGGTTGCCTTCAGGCTTTCACTGGAAAGCTTGGAGATTGGCAGCTGAAGGAGGGGCTGCTGTGTCCAGGCAAGGGAGGTCTGAAGGGCTGGAGCAGCCCGGGCCTGGGGCTCTTGGATCAGCCAGAACCAACAGGAAGCCTGCTGGGCCCCTGTCCTTGCCAACAGAGAAGGAGAGGGGGTCCCAATGAAAATGGGAGCAGCCAATAGAGCCCCGAGTGGGGGCGAGCGAGTGGCCACCGTGAGCACGGGGTGCAGGCAGCTGAAGTCAACCTCACCACCTCACGGATCATCGTGAGCCACAGAAGAATGCTAAGAGCAGCCCCCAAAAGATACCCTGGAAAGGAAAACAGAAGAGCACACCCAGGAAGGTGAGGATCCCTGAGATGTGCCGAGATGCACAGCACGTGGAAGAACCCCAGAGCTGCAGAGCCCAGGATTCCTTATGAACAGCTGAGGTGACAGAGAGAGGACGTAAAATGGAAGAGAAATGAAGAGGGTCAGCAGTGACGCGTGTTGAGGCCAGGCACAGGGAAAGCTCACGCACTGCGAGGCAGCCCTGCAGAGGATGTCGGGGCGAGAGAGTGAAGCAGAAGACCCCCGAGGCTCCCAAGCAGGCCACGCAGCATGGACCCCCACTGCCTGCCCCTTCTGGTGTTGCAGCAAAAGTAGTACATGACGTGGCTTGAGGGGGTGAGCACCGCTGTCCCGCGCCCAGGGCAGAGGCAGAGGCGTAGTCCTCAGGTGGGCCGTGAGCCCAGGAGCTCGTGCTCAAACTCCCCTCCAGGTGCCTGAGCGCCCTCCCAAGGAGTCTGATGGCAGACCAGTGAGCCTCAGACGGCGGCTGTGACTAGAGCAGCTGTGGGCCGTGAACGGCCAGGCCTCGGGACTGCGCAGGTGAGGCTGTCCCCATGTACACCTGGTGGGTGGGCACAGTTGTGTGCGGGGCATGAGGACAGCAGATGCTGGGGTCCCTTAGGTGCGTGGCCGAGTCACTGAGAACCAGGTTTCATGGGGAGAAGTGGGGTGCAAGTGTCAGATGTGAGAGGCTAAATTAAAACCTTGGAGTCCCAGATTTGAATGGGGGGTTTCACTGTGAGCTCCTGAGGACCTTTAAAAAAAGAAGCAGTGAGTGTTTCCTGATATTGCTGTGAAAGCCATTTTGCACCACAAGAGGCCAGGGCTCTGGGGACACTGCTGATGGTGGGTCTGGGGCAGGGAGTGTGGAAGTAGGTGGTGCTACTGAAGGCCACGGGTCCTGTGGGCAGACGGCGTTTCTGCCAGCAGCAGGAGGAGCTTGCCAGCTGTCCACCTTCATCCCCAGTGGTGCTGGGGAAAGGGGACTTCAGACGACAGGGAGCCAGTGCTTTTTCCTGAAAACCTTGCCATTGAGGGGCAGTAAGCTCTTGACCTGCCATCACCTCCTGAGATTGCACTGGGTGCTGAGGGGCAGGTATGGGGTCTGTAGGATTCAGTTCAGCTTCATCACAAAGGGCAACAGGAGCGCCCTTTTGTGCACCCCATTCAACCTGTGGTCCACTCTGTCTGCGTTATGTGGACACACACAAGGAGATGCTGTGAGCCCTCTGGAAAAAGCAGGACGATGCCACGCTGTGCCTGAGTGAGCTGCCTGGCAGAGGCCTGGGAGGACCCTGTGGCCATCTTCAACAGGAACACTGCGAGGAAACACGGGCTGTCCTTTGGACCAGCCAGCTTTGAGTGACACACTGAAGCACAGTGCCTCGGAGTGCAGTCCTGGTGGCAGAGCTATGAAGAAGTACCGGAGCTGATCCGCTTGGGCTTGGGAGGTGGGGGGATCTCCCTGCAGGCGACGGAGATGCCTGGCCTGGTGTGTCTTTATATTGAGCTTCTTACCTCTGCATTTGGTTTTGGAGCTCTTTGTGCCTGCCATGTGTGCCACAGAAGGCTGACATCAGAACTGTGGCTGCTGGGCTCTACTTCGGGGGTCTGAGGTGTGGGACACTGCCTGCTGTGTGCCAGGGCTGGAGGAGCTGAAGGACCCCTCAACTCCTTGTCCCCAAGCTGAGAACAATGTTGGTCTGCTGTGGGTTGAATTGATCCATGGGCACATTCAGCAGTAGGAAGGTGTCGGGACCCTGCCCTCCACCCAGGGCCCTGCTCCAGCCTCAGTCGCCCTGGTTCCTGCTGGTTTTCATCGAGTACCTGTGTTCTGCACCACTCTCCTCCTGGGGATTTGTTGTGTCGTGTGCACTCACATGCATGTGCTAGGGAACTGAACCCAGGACCTGACACACACTGCTGCTGAGCTGCATCCCCAGCTTCTCCGGTCCTTTTAAGGGACTGCGGGGATTCTGGGAACGTGGTATCCTCTTCCTCCTGAGATGGGGAGGCTGAAGGACCCAAGTGGCATCCTGCCTAATAGCCTGCCCTCCACCTGCAGCACCATGCGGGGCTGGCCTGGTGTGTGACATAGTGCATGGCGGGACGAAGAGCCCACCTCCTGAGGGATGAGAGGGTCGCTCATCTGGCAGTAAGAAGCGCTGTGTTGGAGGTGGCTGCTAGAACCAGCCTCTCCTCCAGCACCTCTGGCCACACTTCTGCACCTCAGCCTCCCCCAGTGCCCTGCTTGGCCTTCTCAGCTCCGCTCTGCATCACACGTTGTGTCCCATGCTCTTGACAACTTTGCAAGCGAGGCAACTGTTGTTTTCATGGGAAAGCAGGTCTCCTACCCCTTGGCCCGGTCACTCTGCCTGGGACTAAGAGCTTCCGAGGTTTTTGTTTTTAATTATTCTCTTTTTAATAAACTGTAATTTCTTTCTTGATTTTTATTGACAATAAATTGGGGTTCATGCCATCTCTTCAGGGTCCCTCCCTGATGATCACATCCTGCCTGGATTTTGTCCCCTGCCAATGTGACTCTAGTGTTCTTTGCCTTACAATATAGTAATTCTCAGAACCCCCTGGTGGGTGGGCTGGAGTAAAGCCCAGGGGTCCACATCTGCAGTTCCTGGTGGTCCTGGTGCTGCTGGCCAGGGACCTTGCTGGGAGAGTGAGGGCCTGTTGCAGGAGGTGGCTGAGCGGGCGGGCCGTGGCTGTCAGGGTGTGCCGTGGCTGTCAGGGTGTGCCAGGCTTCAGCTTGTCCTGCCTGGGTTTCTCACTCGCAAAGACTCATGTTTCATAGCAGCCATCTTATGCGATTTGACATACAGAGGACACAGAGCTCTGCCCTCGGAGGGTCTAGCTCTTCTCCCTGTGTTCACCAGTGACGTCTCACAGATGTRTCTGAGCACTTTAGCAAGAGGGAACACAGTTCGGGTAGGTTGTGATTCCTGCTTTGAAGGAAATCAGGGTGCGCCTCTTGAGGCCCTGGCGTGTGATTCTAAAGCTCTGGCAGACCCCATGAGGAGAGCAGGTGTTATGGACAACACCCACGTCTCAAGAACAGGACGGGCTGGGAGACAGGCGCCTGGGCAGGCATGGTGCAAATGCGGGAAAGGCTTTGTTGGGGTGGGCTGGAGGTGGCGTCCTCCGTCGCACAGGTCCAGGCTGCATCTGGGTCTGGCCTGACTCCGGCCCTCAGCCTCCCTGCCCCAGCTCAGTGCTCTGGGTTTCCCGTGTTCTCCCTGGAGGCCTTTCTTGCCTCCTTCCTGCACATCCATTTATGTAGTCGGTTAACGACCTCCTGGAGGTCCTTCTGCTCCCTAGGCATGGCTGCAACGGCCTGCAGGAGCGCACCTGGGGGAAGATGGGTGATGAACAGATGCCCCCCAGAGGTCAGTGCCTGAGCAGAGGACAGGCCGAGGGGTGAAGAGCAGCAGACCCTGACCTGCTTTCTGTGATGTGGGTGCTGTCCCCACTGGTGGTAGGGTGTACTCCATAAAGGCAATCAAAAAGCTGTCCCAGGCCAGCACTCAGCCAGGGTTCCTGCTTGGACAGCCCTCTGTGGAGCTGCTGCCTCTGACTCCCTCCCCACCTCTCTTGTCTTCCAGTGGACATACTCATCATGGATGATGACGACGTCCCCAGCTGGCCCCCGACCAAGCTCTCCCCGCCCCAGTCTGCACCCGCGGCGGGGCCCCCACCCAGGCCACGGCCGCCGGCCCCCTACATCTGCAACGAGTGCGGCAAGAGCTTCAGCCACTGGTCCAAGCTGACACGGCACCAGCGCACGCACACCGGCGAGCGGCCCAACGCCTGCAGCGACTGCGGCAAGACCTTCTCGCAGAGCTCGCACCTGGTGCAGCACCGGCGCATCCACACGGGCGAGAAGCCCTACGCCTGCTCCGAGTGTGGCAAGCGCTTCAGCTGGAGCTCCAACCTCATGCAGCACCAGCGCATCCACACCGGCGAGAAGCCCTATGCCTGCCCCGACTGCGGCCGCAGTTTCACGCAGAGCAAGAGCCTGGCCAAGCACCGGCGCTCACATAGCGGCCTCAAGCCTTTTGTGTGTCCGCGCTGTGGCCGCGGCTTCAGCCAGCCAAAGAGCTTGGCGCGCCACCTGCGGCTGCACCCCGAGCTGTCGGGGCCTGGTGTGGCCGCCAAGGTGTTGGCAGCCAGTGTGCGCCGCGCTAAGGCGCCGGAGGAGGCAGCGGCGGCRGACGGCGAGATCGCCATCCCGGTGGGCGACGGCGAGGGCATCATCGTGGTGGGCGCGCCTGGCGAGAGCGCCGCGGCTGCCGCAGCTATGGCCGGCGCAGGGGCGCGGGCGTCCGGGCCGCGGTCACGGCGCGCCCCGGCTCCCAAGCCCTATGTGTGCATGGAGTGCGGGAAGGGCTTCGGGCATGGGGCTGGGCTTCTGGCCCACCAGCGGGCTCAGCACGGGGACGGGCTGGGGGCGGCGGGCGGCGAGGAGCCTGCGCACATCTGTGTGGAGTGTGGCGAGGGCTTCGTGCAGGGCGCTGCGCTCCGCAGACACAAGAAGATCCACGCTGTGGGCGCGCCCTCGGTCTGCAGCAGCTGCGGACAGAGCTTCTACCGGGCTGGCGGGGAGGATGAGGACGAGGACGCAGCCTCCGGCGGGCGCTGCACTGAGTGTCGTGGCACGGAGGGCCGGTAGGGGCGGGGGCGCCCGGGGGGGGGAGCAGGGCCCCTCGGGCTTGGCGGGGACGACAAAACCAGGAGGCCAGGGAGAAATGGACAGAGGGGTGCGACCGGTGGCATCCTCGTCTCCTGCCCCTGCTACTCGGCCTGCGCTGTCTTGGTGCGAGAGGACCTGTGGGCATTAGGGCAAGATGGTTTCTCAAGGTGCCCGCTGGCTCTCCAAACCCTGCCCTTTCTAGGTTCTCCGCCAGAGCCAGAGCTAGACAATGTGAGAACTGTAGAGGTCAAGAGGCCAGACCCTCACGCAAGAGGCTGCCCCTCTCTTCCCACACTGTCTGGGATGTTGTAAGGGATGGAGGGAATTCTGGCCTTTTGTATTTAGAGGGTCCCAGAAAGGCAAGGGGAGAGGGGCCCTTTGCCCTCTTAGAGTTTTCTTTTAATCATACCCCTTACCCCCTCCCATCCACTATTTTTTCTGCCCTTCGAGTCCTATTGATTTTATAGCCCAGGTTTTCCTCCTGCTCCTGGGTGTGGGGTAGCAGAGGAGTGAAGCAGAAGRAGCCCTGACACCCAGGGTAGCCCCCTTCAGAGGATGGGGTGTGCTGTCTGTTCCCTGGCGTGGGCAGGTGGAAGAAGGGGTGTGAGGGCAATAAATCACACTATTCGATTGTCCCCGTAGCCGTGTGGTTCTTGGGTTCGGGAGGAAGAAGGGCAAGAGGCTGAAGGGCTCTGTCAACCCCAGGTGTAGCAGTGGACGCCAGCCCAGTCAGTGGACAGCCCCGCCTGTGCCGGTGCTCCTGCTGGGTGCTGCTCAGGAGCTGCGGATTCCCTGCCACTGGCTGGAGGAAGGCGCCGCAGGGGGAAGTAGCGGGCAGTTCTCCAACCCCGGGAGTCCTGCCTTCTGCTCCCTGGAGACAGCACACACCTCTCCTGCCCAGATGCCTCCAGCCAGTTGATCACATGGGCACTTCTTGCAAAGGTAGCTGTGCTGGGAGGGCTAATTCCCAGTGACAAACTAGGGCACTGAAGGTGGGGGATGCATTTGGGGGCAGGACCTAGGTATCACTGAGTGCTGTGGCTGTGTCCAGCACTGAGCTACAGTGTCTGCCGCCTGGTCCCTCAGGACTGCCGAAGCTTCCTGTCAGAAGGCTCCTCTGATGCCAATTCCAGTTACCTGGGTCACAGCCCCAGGCCAGAGATCCCTGTCCCCAGGGCCTTGAGGGGGGTGTGGTGACGCCCCACCAGTGGGTATTTCCAAGCTGGCGGGCAGCCATTTGAATGCAGGAAGTGCTTGGAGGGGGTGGGCTGCAGGCTCCCTCCCCTGCACTGCAGGAGGCCGGGAGGGGCTTCTGCCTGAGTGAGCAGGTGTTGCAGGCTGGTGTTGCCTCCCAGCTCATTGGAAGTTAAGGTCACTAAAGGGGGGGGGTTTGCTGGGAGTCATGGGGATTATGAAGACTGGGCTTCGTGCCCTTATGTTACTCTGCTGAGCACTAACCTTGGTGCTTCTGGAGGTGGGGAAAGGAGTGGGAGGTAAGCAGCGGGGTTCTGGTGCCTGCTCAGTGTGGTAAGTCTGGCTTCTTCCCAGGAGCTGACGCCGAGATTGAGAAAGATTCAGACCCAGTCTCCACCCTGCCTCTTACCAGGCAAAACCTCGAGCCTCAGTTTCCTCCTCTGTGAAAGGAAAAGATTGCCTATCTTACTGGCATTCTTTTGGGAAGGGATCCAAGCCCAGCACTTGGTCCCAGAGCACGTGCCTCCCAGACGGGTAGAACCCAGTGGCAAGTCTCAAATCCTCTGGGCCCACCTTACTTTCCCTAATGCAGGGATCCATTTAGTAGTAGATGTGTTAGTGAGCTGATAGGTCCATGGGCTTAGACAAGTGTCCTTGGCACTGGTCCTGGCCCTCCTGTCTCAGAAGGGGGTGCCCCCCTTCCCAGGCACTCACCACAGGTTGGCACTGTGTGGGCGGGCAAGCTGAGGGCATGCCAGGTTGGGCCACCTTTCCAATCTCACGAAGCCCTAGCTGCGGTGGCAGCAGAGATAACTCCTGCCACCGTGTTTTATGACTTCACACCCATCACTCAAGCCATGCACTCTGGGCTGCAGTTTGTAGGGCTATGCAACCTCCACTGCACCCCCACCCTGAGCCCACCACCCACCTCCTGGATGGAGGAGGCCACATACGGGCTCTTTGGAGAACAATGTGACCTTGGTGGTCACGGTGTCTGCCCTTGTGGAGCTCATCTAGGCCCAGGGGAGACAGCTGCCAAGAATTGAGGATGAAGAGGCGGACGGGAGGTAGGACGTGGAGGAGGGCCCTGGTGGGCAGGAGCAACCGGCAGTTTCCTGGAGGGGTGCTTTCTGGGTGTGAGAGCAGGGGTCCTCCACTGGTCTTCCTGCTCTGAACAGTGCCAGAGTTGTGTATTCCCTATAGCCCTGTTTTCAGGGTGTCCTGGAGAGTGCAGGTTCCAGGCCATACTAATGGAGAAAGCCGCCCTGCGTGTAAGTACCTCGGGAAGTGCTGGGTTGGTCCCTAGCCTGGACACAGTGCCCACCTGGCACATGGCAGATAATGGAGATTTGATGGTCTTGATGATCTGCAGAGAGGCATCCCCCAAAGCTTTTGGGATTCTGCACTCCAGGGTGGGCACAGGGTGTGGAGGGTGGGCAAGCCGTGTTCTAAACTTGTTCTGTCATGAAACCTCCAGTCACAGAGCATCTTGGGCTGGTGTGGTCAGGACACTTGGTGTGCGTGTTGGGGGTGTGTATATCTGTGCATGTATTTGTGTTTCTTATGTGTGCATTCATATGTGTCTTAGTACACATGTCTCATACATCTTTGTGCATATATGTGCAGTGTGTGTTTGTGGTCGCGGTGTGCATTTACTCATCCACCTATCCCAAGGAGGTTGTGGGTGGGGAGGTGTAGTCTCTGACCCCCTGATTTCACCTCTTCTGCCTTGATGGACAGCAGGTCCCCAGCGGTGGTGCCTCTGGGTCAGGTCCTTCAGTACTGTGGACAGAGCCCCACCCTGGGTCTCAGGGGCAGTTCACAGGCCTCCTTTGAAGCCTCGTGGGGTCTCTGGCTGCAGGAGGGCGTGCCCCATTTTACAGACAAGGACTCAGAGGTGCAGGAGGTGGGGCCCAGTCTCCCCAGCTCTCCCAGCCAGCAAGCAGCAGGGCCCAGCAGCCACGTGCAGCACCCACTCACTGCCTGGCTCCGGGATGCTGTGCACTGGGGCTGGCCGCCAGTTGGCAGGGCCGGCTGGCCATTCGGGCTGTGGTTCTGTACCAGGAGGGCTTGGGTCAAGAACTGATATGTTTAATCACAAGATTTTTTTTTGTTTTTAAAGAATTATACTTGGAAGAAAATGTTATTTACAAAATCTCTCTCACAGGGCTGGGGTTGTGACTCAGCAGTGGAGCGCTTGCCTAGCACATGTGAGGTTCTGGGTTCGATCTTCAGCACCACACAAAAATAAATAAATAAAATAAAGGTACCCTGTCCAACTACAACTAAAAAATAAATATTAAAAAAAAATCTCATTCCAGCTCCCACATGCCTCATTCCTCTCTCTCCATTCTCCTTGATGTAAGCACGATCAAGTGGGAGCACACCCCATCTACTTCTGCCATTGCACATCTGTCGGCAGTCATCTGTGTGCCTCTGTGGTCTGTGTGCCTGTTTATCAATATCTCGTCATCTGTGTGTCTGTCATCCACCTAGTCTTCCTTGACTGCTGTCTGTGTGTCTGTCAACTAGCTGCACACCTACGGTTGCTCCAGAGCGGCCCGTGGCATCTCATGGGTGGACTTAACCTCTGTGTGGCTAATTCCCGGCTGATGCACTGAGCTCCTCTACAGTCATCTGCTGCTATAACAAAGCCACAACTAGATTGTGTCCTGTCTTGGCACGTTGGGCCTGCAGGAGAAAGGAGCTCGCTCCCGAGATGTTAGACTGACAAGTTGCCTGCTGAGCAGAGCAGCCTGTGCAGGTCTGCCTCCGCCTGCCCTCCAGTGAGGGCTTTGGTGTGGCAGACACTGGAGAGACTGCAGGAGGGAGGCGAGGGTTTAATGTGCACTGTCTACAAGCTGGTTCTTCACCTGCCTGGCCTAGTCCTGCACTTAGAGGGGAAGGCTCAGGGAGTGGGCGGGCCAGGGAGTGTGGGCCTGCAGTGGAGTGTTATTCAGCCCTGAAGAGGAGGAAGGCAGTGGTGCATGACAATGGATCTAAACAGCTTTCCCCACCCACGGCAGGATGGCAGAGCTGCCCATGTCTTGCCACGTGGATCATGTGGAAACAGCTGAGGTGAGAGAGCCCTTGGAGTGTCAGGGCCATCTGCCTGGGAGGGGCCAGCTGCTCTCAGGCTGGGGAGATGGAGCCCCCCCAGGAACATCTGTGTGAACCTGTCTGGTTGCCGCAGCTGGAGGGTGGGTGTCCCAGCGTCAGCACCTCCTACGGTGCACAGGTCACGCCACAGCACAGAGCTGGGTGCCCCAGTGTCAGGCTGGAGGCCGGCTCCTCCTCCTCTCCGCCCACCCGTGCTCCAGCAGTCCTGCGCTACAGGGTGAGCTGGACACTTCTCTCAGGGACCAGTTTACAGTCTGGGCTTCACACACACTTCACCCAGCTCCAGGCTGCTAGAGGAGGAAAGGGTCCCAGAGGAGGCCAGGCCTGTCCAGAAGGCAGCAACTGCTGGGCCCCACCCACAGTGGGAGGCCACTGGAGGCCGCTGGAGGCCATGCAGGGGACTCACCCATCACCCTCTTGGGAGGGTTCCCGTCCTCCTGCTGCTCCTTCCCAGGCCACGAATTTAAGAATAGGGAAGGGACAATTGGGGCATGGGCAGTGACTCGCCTGGGTACAGACATCCACTCCTGGACGTCCTCCAAGAGCCCCGTGTCTTTCTAGAAGTCAGTTTTGGCCCCCAGGTACCCCTCGGCAGCCAGGCTCCCCGCCCTCTTGCTGGAGCCCTGCTCATCTCGGCAGAGAGCGGGAAGTAGTGGAGCACGGAGACCTCGGCCCTGGTGGCCAGGTGTCTGCTGCGGTCCTCTCCAGCCTCTGTCCGAACACCTGGACAGTGCACCCAGTTCCACGAGCAAGCTCCACCGACCCACAAAGACACCACACTCCACCCCTTGCCTCGGCTGCTCTGTTGGTGCGTCAGCCCGTGTTCTCCAGAGAGCAGAACCAGTCGTGTTTATATGACGAGGTAGGTGCACCTCTTCCTGCTTCCTGTAGACGTGGGGGTTCGGCAGGAAGTTGGTCAGGTGACCTCAGTGGTTGGGGAGTCCCACCACGCTGTTGGTGTGCTGGAGGCCAGAGATGGTGCTAGCTGAGACTCGGTCCTGAAGCCAGGACCTCGGACCCTGGGAGGATGAGGGTGCAGCCCTTTCTGTGGCTGGGGGTCCAGGAGCCTCTGAAGCCCCTTCTGAGGCTGGTGGCTTAGGAGCCTCCCAGGCTGACGCCCCATCTGAGGCTGAGTCCGCTTCTGAGGTTGGAGGCCCAGGTGGCTCTGTGGACCACTGGTGCAAGTCTTGGGGTCCAAAGGCCAAAGAGGCCAAAATCTGATGCTCCAGGGTAGCTGCAGAGTGACTTCCTGGCAACAGCCAAATGAGGGTTTGTTTCTGTTGTGCCCAGAACACTCAGAGCAGAGTCCTCAGGGGACTG